AATTTCCCAAAACTTGTTTGGTTTACAAGTTTTCCAAATAAATCTCTCTCTCATACACATCAAATCAATCACTTTTTCCAAAGCTCTCTCAAAATAATTTTCCAAAACATCTTTTGAAAAAAACCAAACCAAACAACTTTTTGTACTTTTTATCTCTAAAACTCATCTCCCAAACTCAAACTAAACATACCGGATCGGGTAAATAACTATTTGTGGACAAAGTTAGGCTGTGTTAATACTTTAGAATAATTATTTGTGGACAAAGTTAGGCTGTGTTAATTCTTTAGATTTAGGTATGAGGACATTACATTGAACAATTAAAGTTTCATAATAATTAAAACGTCAATAGTCACTAAATTCAATAAATCACCATCATAAATAGTTCAAAATATTCAATATCTACTATTAAAATCCAATAATAATTAGAAAGTCAACTATCACTAAATTCAACAAGCAAAAAAAAAAGTTTAAATTAGGAGTGCAATTCGGGCGGGTTCAGTCAGATTGAGAGGTTGTCCAAACCTAACTCAAATTGTGCCGAGACCTACTCAGGCCCGCCCAAGCCTGAATTGTAACACAGGGTTGCCTAGCAAAGCCCAACTTGAGTTAAACCCGAATTGTCCGAGTTGCTCGAATTGTAAATGGATTTCAGTTTTTATTTATTTTTATTTTTTTTATATTTTTTATTTTTACAGTTACATTATTAAATTATTAAAATTTGACTCTATTTACATTTTTTTTATATAGAAAATCGTTAATACCATCAAAACAAATAATTTATATAATATAAGAGATATGCCGCTATAATAGTCCTTACAATTTATGAGTGAAAATAAAAAAAAGTAAGATTTATATAATTTGTATATAAAATATATATTCAGTATGATTTAATAATCTAAATTACTTTAACATCATGTAATGACTAATAATTTATATATATATTTAATATTTTTATATATCTATATATGTATAATTCGGATTTCGGGTTGCTCGGGTTGTTTGACGTTTTTGTCTAAACCCGCTCAAATTTAATTCAGACTTCTAAATTTTTGTCCAAGTCTGTACCAAATTTTAAAATATCTTGTCTAAGTCCTAATCACTACAACAAAAAGTATCTTTAGAAACGAAAACTAATGACGAAAATAAATTTTGTCATGAAAGATGTACCTTTTAGTGAAGAAAATAATATTTCGTCTCTAAATGTACCAGTTTTAGAGACAAAAATAAAATTTCGTCACCAATCTGCATACATAATAAAAAAAAATTAGGTGACGAAATTATTTTTCGTTGTTATTTATATTTTTTTTGTCACCGAAGATTTTCGCGCTAATTTTCCGGATGGTGCCAAAATTTTCAGACTTTTGGTGACGAAAAAATTAGTCACGAATAATAAAATTATTAATGACGAATATATTTTCGCCACCAATAATTTTTAATATTTTAATATCATTTAGTGAGAAAACTATTTTCATGGCCAATAATTTTATCTTTTGGTGAGGAAATAATTTTGTCACCAAATAAATGGTTTAGTTGCTGAAGGTTTTAGAGGGAAATGAATATATTGGCGCCTTAGATATAACGGTTCTTCTTCTCACACACAGATTTGACCACCAAACCTCACCCTACATCACTTCACTTCAGCGTACACCACCAAGGCCGCTCACCACTCCACCGCCCGCAGATCACCACCACCGCATTTTCATAGGTATCACTACTACAAAAATGCTTAAAGATCACACTTAATGAAATTAAAACATGACACTTTTAATGAATGAGTGATTAAAAAAATCAAATTAATATTTTAATCACACCTAATTTAATTGAGTGTGATAGTATTTATTTTTTATGTCAGTTTTTGACTAAATGTGATTATATCTTTTTTTTTTTAATCACACTTTCTAATTAATGTGTGATTATATATATTTTTCAAATTTTATTTTTATATCTAATATTCCTATTTTATAGGCCTGTTTGGTAGAGCTTATAAGCTGCTTATTTCAGCTTTTACCTTAATTTAAGCTAAAATATTGTGTTTGGTGTAGCATAAGTTAACCAGCTTATAGCTTAAATTAAGTTATTTCTCAACTTATCTCAAAAGCTGATCAGGGGGTGCTTAAATTTTTGACTTAAGCGCGCAGCTGGTGTGGGGGCTGAAATTACTTAAATGCTTTTGACAATTGTATACTTTTGTAATGAATTAATTATTAATTGATACTAATTAATAACAATTGTTGATTATTAATATTAATTGATACTAATAAAAATTAAATATTAATATTAATTTATACTAATTAATAATTTTAGCATTAATTGAGACTAATTAAGCCATTAATTGATACTAATTAATAATTTTAGCATTAATTGATACTAATTAAGCAATTAATTGATACTAATTAATTTATAATGGAAAATAATTGTGACAATAATACTTCCATTACATTTTTAGCAAATGTATCAATTTTTATATTAATTGATACTAATTAATACTACTTATATTAACTTTTAATAACAAAATATTTTTTTTTAAATTAAAATTGAAAAAAATGACAAAATAATCATTTTTATATCACATAAGGATAGAAAGGACAATTATACAGTAAAAAGCTATTTTACAGCTTATTAACCAAACACTACTCTGTTGCTTAAATCCATAATCCCACAGCTACACCAAACAGGTTAACAGCTTATGTTCACAGCTATAAGTTATAATCTATAATCACTTTTCCACAGCTCTACCAAACGGGGCCTATATCACACTTCTCTCTCTCTCTCTCTCTCCCCACTACTACAAAAACAGTGAAACATCACACTTTGACATATGAAAATATCTCACTTTTATTGAAAGTGTGATAATATTTACTTTTTATGTCACTTTTCAATTAAGTATAATTATATATATATATATATATTTTAATCACACTTCTAATTAACATGTGATTAAAGATCACATAAGAAGAATTAAAAATATCTCACTTTTATTAGAAGTGTGAACACTTAATTTAATGAGTGAGATAATATATTTTTTTTAATCACACATTTTAAATGAGTGTGATTATATATATTTATTTTACTACTCTCTCTCTCTCTCTCTCTCTCTCACACACACACACACACACACACACACACACACACAAATTTATAAAAACTTGTGCATTTCATGAATTACCACTAATAACCTACATACAGGGATAAGAGGTCGCTACTATGCGTGAAGCACAGCAGTGACTGTGGTGCATTCATTTGAAGTGTATTATGGTCTTGTTTTTATGATTCAAACCGTCCATTTTGTAGGGTTTGTTGAGTACTTCATGCCTACCAAAAATCATATTAATCGGATATCAACAACTATATGATCGAATTGCATATTATTTATGTTATTTCTCAAAATAAAACTTATTATTTATTTTTTTGGTTATCGATCATATAGTTGTTGATATCCGATTAATATGATTTTTCGTAGGCATGAAGTACTCAACAAACCCTACAAAATGGACAATTTGGATCATAAAAATAAGACCATAATACACCTCAAATGGAGGCACCACAGTCACTGCTATGCTTCACGCACAGCAGTGACCCCTCATCCAACACACCCACCCCTTTTATCTCACCGTATTCAACATTTGTCTCACACTCATCTCTTGTTCCTTCACTACACCGCACTCATCTCTTACTCTTCCACTACGCCAATCGCCATCGCTATCGCCATTACCATCGTCATCGCCATCGCCATCGCCGTTACCTCTAGTAGCCTTGTCAGTCACTACCGCCGTTAGTAGACTTGCCAATCTCTACACTCCTCTGTATCGAACGATTCAACCTCTCTGCAATCTCTCTCTTTTCTCTCTCTGCACCATGATCACCGCCTTCATCTCTCTCTTCCTGGTAAGCACTCTCTGCCTCTCTTTCTCTGTGTATTCTATGTGTTCCTATATATATATATGTTTATATAACCGCCTTCGTTTTTCCTGCAAGAATGAGGATTTTAGGGTTTGGTGGGACACAAGATGAAAATAAGAAAACTGAAGATATTTTGTTTCCTTATATATGTGTTTAATATTAGAAATAAGGATATATTCATGTGATTTCCAACAGATGAACAATTTGATTTGATTTGATTTTTATATATTTTTTTTTATATTAGAACTACTCATTAGCTTGTTTGATTGGTTCTTGTAATGCTTTTAGAAAATAAATTTGATTTATGATTCCTATTTGTGTTTAACATGATACAAATTTGGGGACTCTGCCTCTATGCTTTCTCATCTGCCCCTATGGATTACCCGAAAAACTATCTGCTAACATGCACAAAACAATGACAAGCAAATTAGTCTGCATGCTTTATATAATAAAATAGAATAGATGGGTCATCATTTTAATTTATGGAAAAAAAAAACCGCCCCGTTGTCAACAGTCACCTTTCCTCCCAAATTAATCACCACTTGATTGATTTCAAGACTACCGAGTCCTTTTCAATTAACTTGAATTCTGTTGTTTCAATCTAAAGTATCAATTTTTTTTTTTTTAAGAATGATGAATAATGTTTCGAAATTCTAATATAAATCTTTTTAATTTCTAGAGGCATTTCATGTGGTGGAAGTTGATAGTCCTATTTTTCATGGTGTGTGTCACAGTTTAAGGATGTGATACAAACTGCTGCACTGTTTTCATGATTGTGCAGAGGCCTAAATTCTAATATAAATCTTGTTTATATGTATCTATTCGTTACTGAAATTATTGGGATTCCATAATTTCTCCGACATGCAATGGTACCATTCTTATTCATTGATTTTCTTTGGGATTTTCTACTTTAACCAGGTACCTTTAGGTAAGAAATTAAGTTGCTGACATGTTAAATGAATTATTGTGGAAGAAGAATTTGTCTATAAAGGGAAGAACCAAGAAATAGAAAAGGCAGTGAGCGAATTTAGGAAAGCCATAAAAGAATTGGCAAAAGTGATGATTTTATTTATTGTTCTACTTTTGTGATGAGGTAATCAAAATGAATCGGAAAGTTGTGGACTGTTTTAGAAGGGCCAGGTTATATTCTTTCTTCTTCTTTTGTTTTTTGTTAATTATTTTTATTGATGGTGAGGTTAGTACCTATTGTTGCGTATTAACTTTTTTGCATGTTCTTTGTGTCCTCTAAATTACTTCTTTTTGAAAACCTTTTCCTATACTTGCAAATTCTCAATTTTGCTTCTCATGACTCTGTAAATTTTTAATATTTTTTCGTTGTTCATGGTCAATCAAAGACTCACAACTTTGGTATGAATTATGGCATTTCTTGCCCAATCTAGTTTTTTTACTCGCTTTCTTTGAGGCATTTACTTTTAAAGTTGAGGCATTTACGTTTTCAGAGATCACTCTTCTGTAGTGTTTACTTTTTGCCTTCCTAATAAATATGTGATTGTGGTTTATATTGAGCGCATTTACATTGCCAGAAACATGTTGTTACTTCTTTTCTCTGGTTCTTATTCAGATAATTCTGATTGTTAACTGGATAATTTCTTACATTTTCATTCAATTATGTTCTGTTGACAATGCTTTGAGCTTTCGCGATATACCATTTCTCATAAGTATGACTATGTTTCATGATCTTGTTATTACGATCTCAGAATTAGACACTGAATGTGTGTCCAGCTTAGAAGGTAAGAACTGTTAGTTTCTTTGCTCTACTGTGCTAGCTGTCAACAATCACAACAAAAAAATTTCATTTTTTTGGAACTGCTGGATGTTTTTGGGGTTTGCTTTTGTTTTTCTGTGTTATCTTTAGGATAGTATACTCTGTTTGGTAAATATTTCTTCTCTGCTACAGATCAGTGAGTATTCAAAGAAGAATGTTTGTTTCATCATGTTTTTAGATGAACAAACACTGTTGAAACTGTCAACAAAGGGGAATGTTCCTGATGAGAGAGTATGTATTGGGTTATGGAGAATAGTTATTGTGAGAAACCTACCCTACAAGGATATGCGCAAAACTAGAAAGGTGCTAAAATTTCTATCACATCGTCTCTTCCCTTCTTCTAGGTGATTCTCACACCAAATTTTGTAGATGACTGGGTTATAGACCTTATTTGCTTTCTTCGTTAACCAACACCAAGATTTCTACTTAACATATTTTCTTATTCTGTGGTGATTTCTTAGGTATTCTATTTGGCTTGATAGCAAGATGTGACTTCAGACTGATCCGATGCTAATCATTAAATTCTTTTTGTAGCGAACTGGATCAGAGTATGTTATTTCAAATCATTATACTCGCCACTGTGTTTGGGAGGAGGTACACCAGAATAAGCGTCTAAATAAATACAACCACATGGCCATTGATGAACAGTTCAACTTTTACCAGTCTGATGGTCTCACCAAGTTTGACCCTTCAGACCTAAATACTCCTCTTCCAAGTTATGCGTGTCGTTGTCTTTTTTTTTTTATTTTGAAGTTTGCCTTTTTCCTTATCTATAATTATTGCCCCTTGATGCTTAAGTGCTTATTTTTGTTTGTCATATGCTTTTCACTTTGCAGATGTACCTGAAGGTTCATTTATTGTTAGGGCCCATACACCAATGTCAAATTTATTTTCATGCCTTTGGTTTAATGAAGTTAACCGTTTTACATCATGTGATCAACTGAGCTTTGCTTATACTTTCTTGAAGTTGAAGAGATTGAATCCAAGTAGGCCATTCTTTCTAAATATGTTCAAGGTGGGTAATTACTAAAATAAAACTATTCTTTCCATTACATTGTGCTTTAGGGACTGTAATTTACCTATACCAAGAGAGTAATGTGGGAGGCTGATAAACTAGTTAGAATTTATGGTAAACATCTGTGTGTGTGTGTCTGGTTTATGCAGTTGCCTCTGAAGACATTGATTCTCTAACTTTTGGAGCTCCTAGGTTTCTTCGCCATTTAATGGATCCAAGCTCAAAAAAAGTCCCAGTGATGGAATTTGAAGTTTCGAAGGTGCATAAGAACATTGAACTCAGTTGTGGCTGCTCAATATTTTGAATTAGTATTTCCACAATTGATCTTGTTTTCCAAGTTTTGGAGGAGCTAAATCTTACCATGGATCAATTCATCGACTTGTGCATTCTTTCTGGGTGTGATTATTGTGATAGCATTCGGGGTAATATAATTTCTTACTGACTTCATTATTGTGAAGAATATTACAGCTTTCTGTCTGTTAAGTTAGTAATTGATAGAAGCATCATGTGATGCATGTTTGTTTTATTAGTTTTGAAAGTTAAATTAAACTTTTCCTAAAAGAAAAAAGCAACTAAATGTCAATTTATGTTGGGATACAACTTGTGATCAATGCATTATTCCTTCCATTACCACATTTTGGGCTATTAGTAATGGGGTTAGGTTATATTAGGAAAGCATGGATGCAGTAACTAGTACAAACACAGATACAAGGCATCAAAATGGCTTAACACAAGAAGTAATGAAAAAGTAGGATACAAAACATGGAAGCATATGGCCTATGAAGGCAGACACATGACACAGCACGAAACTAGCACGGGACTCCCGATTTGAAAACTAAGTCCAAAAATACACTTTCTCACACTTAAGCTTCAAAAATAGGCTTTTGGGGGCCAAAATCGTGCAACAGCCACGAGACGACTGGGGAAACACCTCAAACACCTCGGGATGGACAAATTTGAGTTGTGGAAACTTATAGAACTAGCGCTGGACTCTCGGTTTGAAAACTAAGTCCAAAAATGTACTTTTTCACACTTAAGCTTGAAAATAGGCCATCGGGGGCCAAAATCGTGCAACAGCCATGAGACGGCCCAGGAAACACCTCAAACACCTCAGGACAAACCAATGTGAGTTGTGAAAACTTAAGGAACTGGCATAGGACTCCCGGTTTGAAAATTAAGTCCAAATATGCACTTTTTCACATTTAAACTTCAAAAATAAGCCTTCGGAGGCCAAATCGTGCAATAGCCACGAGACGGCCGGGGAAACACCTCAAACACCTCGGGATGGACAAATGTGAGTTGTGAAAACTTACGGAACTAGCGTGGGACTCTCGGTTTGAAAACCAAGTCTAAAAATGCACTTTTTCACACTTAAGCTTAAAAATAGGCCACTGGAGGCCAAAATTGTGCAACAGCCACAAGACGGTCGGGGAAACACCTCAAACACCTCGGGATGGACAAATGTGAGTTGTGGAAACTTACAGAACTAGCGCGGGACTCTCGGTTTGAAAACTAAGTCTAAAAATGCACTTTTTCACACTTTGAAAATAGGCCTTCGGGGGCTAAAATCGTGCAACAGCCACGAGACGGCCCAGGAAACACCTCAAACACATTGGGATGAACCAATATGAGTTGTGGAAACTTACGGAACTAGCACAGGACTCCCGGTTTGAAAATTAAGTCCAAAAATGCACTTTTTCACACTTAAGCTTCAAAAATAGGCCTTCGGGGGCCAAAATCGTGCAACAATCACGAGACGGTCGGGGAAACACCTCAAACACCTTGGGATGGACAAATGTGAGTTGTGGAAACTTACGGAACTAGCGCGGGACTCTCGGTTTGAAAACTAAGTCTAAAAATACACTTTTCACACTTAAGCTTGAAAATAGGCCTTCGGGGGCCAAAATCGTGCAACAGCCACGAGACGGCCCGGGAAACACCTCAAACACCTCGAGACAAACCAATGTGAGTTGTGAAAACTTACGGAACTAGCACGGGACTCCCGGTTTGAAAACTAAGTCTAAAAATACACTTTTTCACACTTAAGCTTGAAAATAGGCCGTCATGGGCCAAAATCATGCAACAGTCACGAGACGGCCTGGAAAACACCTCAAACACTTTGGGACGGACCAATGTGAGTTATGGAAACTTATGGAACTAGCACGGGACTCCCGGTTTGAAAACTAAGTCCAAAATTGCACTTATTCACACTTAAGCTTCAAAATAGGCCACCGGAGGCCAAAATCGTGCAACAGCCACGAGACGGCCGGGAAAACACCTCAAACACCTCGGGATGGACAAATGTGAGTTGTGGAAACTTACGGAACTAGCGCGTGACTCTCGGTTTGAAAACTAAATCTAAAAATGAACTTTTTCACACTTAAGCTTGAAAATAGGCCTTCGGGGGCCAAAATCGTGCAACAGCCACGAGACGGCCTGGGGAACACCTCAAACATCTTGGGAGGGACCAATGTGAGTTGTGAAAATAAATGGAACTAGCACGGGACTCCCGGTTTGAAACTAAGTCCAAAAATGTATTTGTTTACACTTAAGCTTGAAAATAGGCTTTCGGGGGCCAAAATCGTGCAACAGCCACGAGACGGCCCAGGAAACACCTCAAACACCTTGGGAGGGACCAATGTGAGTTGTGGAAACTTACGGAATTAGCACGGGACTCCCGGTTTGAAAACTAAGTCCAAAAATGTATTTTTTCACACTTAAACTTGAAAATAGTCCTTCGGGGACCAAAATCGTGCAACAGCCATGAGACGGCCCGGGAAACACCTCAAACACCTCGGGATGGACCAATGTGAGTTGTGAAAACTTACGGAACTAGCACGGGACTCCCGATTTGAAAACTAAGTCCAAAAATGTATTTTTTCACACTTAAGCTTGAAAATAGTCCTTCGGGGGCCAAAATCGTGCAACAGCCACGAGACGGCCCGGGAAACACCTCAAACACCTCGAGATGGACCAATGTGAGTTGTGGAAACTTACAGAACTAGCACGGGACTCCCGGTTTGAAAACTAAGTCCAAAAATGCATGTTAAATTGTATATGTTATGGATAAGATAATAATTATCTAACTGGCATTTTTCTTTTTTTTTGTGTTTCATTTTTTTGCAAATTCGAGATTTGATATGGACGTGTTTGGTAATTTGGAGGGCAGATAGTAGCTCATTTTGTGTTTTTGTTCATATTACCTTACATGTATTTTGGTTGTGTTGTAAATTTTATATTTTTGTTGGTATTACGGGGCATGTTTGGTAATCTGCCCTTGATATTTTATTTTTGTTGATATTAGTAGACATGTTTTTTGTTGGATATTAGGAGATGTGTTTGGTAATCTACATACGGTTGATGTTATATTTTTGTGGATATTAGTAGACTTTTTTGTAGATATTAGGAGACATGTTTATAATTCGCATGCAGTTCATATTGTATTTTTGTGGATAGTGCTAAAATTTGATTGTGATGTTTATGAAAATGAACAGATTTTTGTATAAATTTGTAATAAATATTTTATTGAACAGGTTATTGAAATATGATGGGTCGTTGAACACACCAAAATTAAATACTAAACTATACCAAATTCAATCAGAATAATGGCAAGTTCAGGTATCGATCCACAGGGACTATTGTGAAATTAAATTAATTCAATCGCAAAATTCATAAATTAATTTTGATTAAAACGATAAGATTGATTCTATACCTAAACAGCAATTAAATAAAATTGAAGAATTATATTGACAATTAAAAACTAGGGTTTGAGATATTAATTTTCGAGAAAAAAATCCTAGAGTAGAGAATTCACCACTAACCACATGAATGAGACTTAACATCAACCATCAATCGTAATTCGGTTTGAATTATCCAATATTTCACAACTACAAGTTTGAAATATTGATCAAGAGGGTTGTTGCATTCAATGTACAGGCACGAATCATCCCGAGTAGTACGAGTCGTTTGTTCTAAACTATGTTAGCAAAACGACTCGTCTCTCATAGCATGACTCGTCTCGTCTCTCATAGCATGACTCGTCTCGTACTTTCAATACAAACACAAAGAATACTAATGTATGGAAAACATTAAACAATCACAGAGAGTAAAATGCTTGAAGAGAAGAACGAAACAATTATTTATAAACTTCTAAAACATCCATACATTCATTCAAACCAAGTTACAATGAAAGCTCGTGAAAAATTCCATTACATGGCTAGGGTTTCATCAAAACCCTAGAAAAGACGACTAGCCACTCATGGAGGAGTGGAAAGAGGAAGAAGATGAAGAAGAAACCCCCATGGAAGTGTTTTCCAAGCTTTGGTAGTGTCTCCTCCTTTGGAACCCTAGCCTCCCTCTTTTCTGTATTCAATTTTCGAACCCTAACTCTGACTGATTTTCTGTCTTTTATTTGGAGCAAAATAGACCAAAAAGTCCATGCACGCGTCCCTAGGTGGGCCGCTCATGCGGTGGTGGGCCGCACGTGCGGTGGTCTGGTGGACTCGGATTTTTCACGTCTCACTCGGAGAATCTGATTTCGTGCCCCCTTTAGATTGAATTTTCATATTTCCTGTCAAATCTGTACAAGTGCACGAAACACATCATCTCCACCAAATAAATAAAATTAAAAGACAAAAAATGTAACTTAAGTGGCCTCAATGTGGTACCTTTCGGCCTACATCACACCCCCCAACTTACATTTTGCTAGTCCTCAAGCAAAACAAAAGAAATAAGAAAAGTAAAATACTCTCAGTCACTTTCGTAGGGAACACGATTGTATTTAGCATATGCAACAAGCCTTTAAACCACAAGGTTACCCCAAGTGGACGAGTATAGTCTCATGAGAGTTTTCAGAAATGATACCCACAAACATCAACATATTCAAATCCACTCAACAACAATTAACCACACTACTCCACACAACAACCAACTTATGTGCCACTACAGTGTGATATTACAAACATGATAATTCATTAAAGGCATAGTGGACAAGTATGAAGGAATCTATTGAGCTTAAACCACAATTCAGTTAATACAAAAGTAGAGTCCCCTGTACTTGTGAATGCTAGTAGACACATCATTAGTACCCTCGGTATAAAGTGCAATCACCATACTAGTTAACTGTCCACTATAATAGCCCAGTGTAACTCATAATAACACTCAACATATACAGAAAAACTAAACTGTTGCAACTAAGCTTCTCAATTTTTTTATTATTATTATTATTATTATTATTTTGTTTTAAATTTTTTTATGAAAGACTATGCAATGTCCTGATCCATTAAGCTTTCTATTCAGCCCATGTAACAAGCATTGGGCCAATGACTCCCAAACCAGACGGTTTTAGGGCACTAGGTGTAGAGACACCCCTACGGGCTTAATAACTCGAGTTAAAGAGGCTACGAACCTAAACAAGTCAAGTTTGTTTTTTTTTTTTTAGAGAGAATCTTGGCTACTCATTTATTCTTTTCTATAACCTCAACCATTATCAATGATGTACACCAGGGATTATAATAAAGAGGTCACTGCTATGATAGTGTATTCATGTGAATTAAGGCATACTCATGACAAGTGTACTAATACCACAAACACAAACAACTATCCTAGTACAAACATCACATGTGAGTATTTACCCAATAAACCCTTTCCAT